AATAACGTTATATTAACATTGATTTAATTAAAAACAATAATAGGTAAATGATATTCTTTCATTATCGTTCCACTGAAAATTATTAAACTTTTCACTACTTTCCCAAATTTAAATAATTGTTAATTGAGTTTTAACAAATTAAAACTGTATTTTTTTTTAATTAAAAACACCAAGGAATGTTACCAGATATTCATTATACATTTGTTTAATTTGGTTCTATAGCACAATAATTTATAATTCGAAATTTAAAATATTATATAAAATACGTAAATACAAAAGATTTCTGATTAAGTTTATTTATTTATTTATTTATTTATTTATTTATTTATTTATTTATTTATTTATTTAATTTACTGTTCAACAGGTACTAACCAATTATAGAACAGGGCGGGTTTAAAGACAATAATAATAAAAAAGTACATTAATAACAAACAAAATTAAAAGGAACAAAAAAATACAGGACATCATAAAAAAAGAAGGAAATAAATAAATAAGTTATGATAACTGCTCAATATTTCCTTAGGGTTCTTTTAACGTTTATCAAATTTTAGGAAAAAAATATTAAATAAAAAATTAGAATAAAATTATTTTTGGTTAGTTTTAAAATATGTACACTGCCAAAACTACATATACAGGGTGGGCCATTAGCGTGAGAAAGTAAAGTAACTCTCTTGTTATTCATAATACAGAAAAAAAGTTTATATAAAAGTTGTACAGAATCAAAAAACCTTAATTTGAAACATACAGGGCGATTAGTAAAAACGGGACACGCCAAATATTACATTTTTTAAATGGAACACCCTATATATTTTTAACCATATGGATTACTGAGAAAATTCTATATATGGCAATATAAACAGTTTATTATTTTAGTGTAGAAAGCTCTTCGAATTTTGGAAAAAGCATGACTTCAAAGAAGCTGTATTACCTTTCAACTATTAACACTTGGAGCAAAAATATTTGACAGAGTTATAGACAAATGTTAGGCAAAGATTCCTATATTAGCTAATATCGATATTTTATACAGGGCATTTTTTATAATTCAATCATTTTTAGAAAGTTCAAACTTGATTTTATAAAATTTTTCAAATAGAACACCCCTGTATTTTATTGTTCTATTTTATTCACATATCAGTCCACTTCAACTTTTATTAAGTCTGTTCGACACCTAAAGTTGTTAGTTTTTAAGATATAGCAACATTTCTGGAAAAACCTATATTTTATTATTTTCGGTCGCACGAGATGACTTTGGAAAAAACAGTCACATGTCAACTTGTCAATTCATAATTTATCATTCCATTTTGAGTTAATTTTATTATTTAATATTTATTTGTGGTATTCTATAAAATAATAAAAATTAAGTTTTTTTCAGAAATGTTGCTATTCTTAAAAACTAACAATTTTAGATATAGGACATGCTTAATAAAAGTTGAAGTGGACTGATATGTGAATAAAATAGAATAAAATGCAGGGTGTTCCATTTGAAAAACTTTAGAAAATCAAGTTTGAACTTTCTAGAAATTATCGTATTATAAAAAATGCCCTGTACAAAATATCGATATTAGCTAATATAGGAGCCTTTGTCTAACATTTGCCTATAAATACGTCTAATTACTTTGTTCCAAGTGTTAGTAGCTGAAAGTTAATACAACTTCTTCGAGGTCATGTTTTTTCCAAAATTCGAAGAAATTTCTACAAAACTTGGCAACCCCGCTATAAAATGATAAACTGTTTATATTGCCATATATAGACATTTCTCGGATATTCATATGTTTAAAAATATACAGGGTGTTCCATTTAAAAAATGTAATCTTTGGCGTATCCCGTTTTTACTCATCGTCCTGTATGTTTCAAATTAATTATGTAGTTTAGGTTTCTTGATTTTGTACAACTTGGCCCACCCTGTATTAAAAATATGTGTGTTATAGGGATGGGTATACATATATAGAGCTATCACAGATGATTACAAGCCATGTGACCAGTAATTTTATTTGGAACAGTAGTTTTATTTCTTGCACTTTGGCAATTAAATTCGGTAAAATTAAAAATTATTAAAATTAATTAAAAGAACAAAGTTACTTTAAAACACAACATTCTGTTTCATCGGCTGATGATTGGTGTAATTTTGCCCGAGATTTTATTCAAACAATCAACGATGGCATTACCTCAAACGTAGACGTAACGGTTTGTCGTTGTTCATTGTAAACGAATCATTAGTATTGGTGACTAAGATTTAAGGATTTTTAGTTGACAGCACCAGCCGTGCAATGTTGATTGCCTAAGCTCGGCAGTCACGTGGTTGTAATCATTTATGAAGGCTCTATAGATCTAAATATGTTACTTCGCACATTTTATAAAAATATAAAGTTTTACATTTTTCATAGTTTAATCAGTAATATAGGTATAGTACATTGCTTTCGGACATCTGTATTTTAATTAAGTACCGACACAAGTAACTTTATTATTAATTTATTTTAATGGGATACAACGTAGACATACCTATGCAATCAGAAAAACAATTAAACGTCAGTTTAAAAAAGTGATGGCGAAAAAATAATTAAAAATATATAATACATTTTTTGTACAATATGGTAATAGAAATTTGTCAGCAATTCATTTTTCAAGTTACGGTTTGGCCAGAAATTAATTTAATGAGTACTTATTTTCGACTAACCTCGTACATTTTAATGGTGAGATGTAACCTACAAACTATGTCATATCTTTTAGGTATGATCTTAGCTGTTTACTAGATATTGTTGATATAATTCGATGCTGGACGGCAGTGGACGGTATTGTAATCTGCGGAGTAGTAGAGTAGACCCGTATATTGGAGCTGCATCAGATAGCATTTTTCCAGAAATACATAATCATAATGCTATATTTCTTGTATTTTATCAGCCAAATATTTAACAAAGTACAAATTTTCATGTTTAAGATAGTTCCATAAATTTGAAAAGTATTTGTATTACCCTGGATTACCACGCACTACCCTACATTACTTTTACATTTTCTTTTGAGTACGACGTAAATTAAAAATAATTACCGCTGAAATTCATATCCAACCAAAATGAAAAAAGAACAAATAAATGACTATCACCAAAATGATTCTAATGCGTTCATGTCATTTTGTGCAAAAAACACTATTTTTCTCAAAAATTGCTTTTTCGGCAATAAATTTTTAAAATGTTTTTCTAATTGTGTATTCTGATTTTGCAGGGTTTTTTACATCTTTACAATTGGTGCCATTCTAGTATTTTAATACTTCGTAAAAACGTAAATTTCAGTAGCTTGGGCGCTCCAATATCCAGAGCGAAATTTTCTTAATTTTGTTTTCAAACTTTATTTATAAGCAATAATTGTAATTTTTGTATGGCATTTAAAATTTAAATAGACACAAATATATTATCTTTCTTTTTCATTTACTACTCGTTCAGAAACTATAAGAAAAAAATGTGCAGATTTAAAAAAATCTTAACCTAGTTTAGAAGTCTTAAAGTCCTAAGACCTGACCTTGGAAGTTGTACGCGTACGCGCTAAAGCTCGCTATTTTTCCCTTCTGATGCCAGTTCTTTGTGAATTAAATTAAGATTACATGTTTATAAACAAGATAAAAATGTTAAGATTAAGATAAAAGATAAATGATAGATAAAAGACTAAACATTCTTGACACGTTATATTAACAAAGATATTAAATCCAATTATTTTATGTTTTTTTTTGCTTAATATCTTGCCATACCTAATCTTTTTTCGGTTAAGTTTATTTTTTCAAATTTGTACTATACCTACCCATAAAAGTCATGAAAGTTGTATGACTTTAAAAGCCTACAAATTGATTATATAACTCATTTATTTGTATTTTTTTCCCTTACAAAAAAATGTATTTTTGTTCTAACTCGATAACTAGAGGGAGAAAACGTACGTTATGGTGACATCAATTTAGTTGTTTTTCGATATAAATCCAGCAGGATATGCACATAAAAGCAATTTTGTTATACACATTTGTAAGCATTAAAATCTGCCATTGAACTGAACTGATTTATTTTTAAAAATTGTGGATTTTTAAAATTTGTAAATTTGAATAAAAAACGTGGTCAATAGCGACTTGGAACCTGAGAGTTTTTTTTTTAATTCTTTAAAGATTTTTTAAGATGAAGATTAACGCTTAACTTTTGAAACCCCAAAAAAGGACCATTTATTTTGAGGGTTTCAAAATTTTGGGGATTTTTTTAGTAGGTACAGTTTTTCACCAACAATTACGTCTACCAAATTTAAAAAGAAACGGTTTACTGAAAAATAATAACTGAGATTACGTGACTTAATACTGATTTCTCGAAATAGTATTATAGAATCCTGTACTATTATTTTTATGAATGGAATTACTATTATCTGTTTATAGACAACCTATTTTTTTATTTGTGTTATTTAAGCCATCAATTTAAAAGTTCCGACGTCTATGGGTTTATGGATCACCCTGTACCTACATTATCATCACACCCTGTTCCAATCATGATTATTTACTAAATTCAACATAAAAACTTGCTAATGTCAGGTCCACTAACATTAGGTAATCTGCATCTGTTTGGTATTGAAACTAGCAACCCTTATTTTATTTTTCAACAAAAGTTTTGCCAGTTTACTTTTTATTTTTTTTTTTTATACAATATACCCTACTGCGAATCACCATGGAGAAAATTATATTACAAGTAATATACTTTAACAATAATATTTGGATATATTTTAAGCAAATGGTGAAATGCAACAGATATGCAAATTGGAATAAATAAATAAATATGCAGTGGTAGGAGTAGAATTTTCGTATTGCAATCTGTTGTAATAGTTATTGTTGTTAAATACAATCGACTCATTTTTTTAATAAAAATCGTGTAAAAACATAATAATGACGCTTTTATGTGCTTATTATTTTGCGAAGCTTACAAGCCCTGATAATCTAAAAAGCATAAATTATGTCATGCACAGGGGTGTTTTCTCTCGTTTCTCACCAGATTATCCGATGCCCTTCTCGAACCGCATTTATCGGGGTCATCTTCGTCGTCTTCTCTGCTCTCAGCCTGCCCCATGGCCCCAGCAGGGGCTCATCAATGAGGCCGGGCTGCAATTTCGCAACCGTCACACGGCCGCCGCTTGCCGTTTAGCAGACTCAAACTGTGCCCACTGAAGCACTAGTTCCACCACCGTTTCTCGTTACCCGGGTTACGAGGTGTGACGTAAGCAGCAGGCTAGGGTTGTAGCGATTGCAAATTGCCAGTGGAAAATGGCAAAGTCGGAGGCGGGTAACTTCCTTTTTATTGAACAATCATACTAAGGGCACGCTTGATTTTTAAGGTAGGTAGATACAGCTAACATATGTATCATAGGAATGTTTTAACTGTTCATAATTTGGAAGGTGAATACAGGCCTATGAATTTTAGAATTAGATAGGTAGGTAGAGAAACTCAAAATGTAGAAAAATTTAAAAAATACATTCTGTGACGTCACAGTCATTAATCTACGAAGCAGCAACGTTATAAAATCATTTCGATGTTCCGTGGTTCTTGAACTTGGTGGAGAAAAAAGGTAGTCGTAAAGAGGGAGGGTTTTCGGCCCCCTTCATTTCTTGCAAAAAAATAGAGAAACATTTTTTTTCATCATTTATATCCAACAACTAATCGATTCCACCCGAAACGGGACCTCCCACCTTCTTCATAGTCAGGATCAAGGTCAATTAGAGGTCAGATTGAGAAAAAGTGCATTAAATCAAAGGATTTTGGAGTTTAGGTTTTTTGGGTTTCCGGGTACGAATCGGAAATTAGTTTGCCTGTATCAGGCCATTTTAAGGTTATTTCAAGGTCACGTCAAGGTCAAATTGAGCAAAAGCCGAGCAATCAAGTCTGACCACATGTTAAACAGGATTTTGGGGCCGCTGAGTTCAAATCCGAGATCAGTTTGTCTGTGTCATCTAATTTGAGGTTATTTCACCCTCCCTCTTTTACCCTTGATTTTATTTCCATAAGCGCTCTAAAATCTGTTTTTGTTGTAACTACTTGTTTACCGTTACTGTCAAAAATTAAAAACGAAAGTAAAATATAATTGAGGTATGACCTTTCTGATCAACGGCTGTCTTTATTCAAATCACATATACCATTTTGACAAATATCAATATGTATAATATGAACCTGGGATTCCACAATGATCGAATTTGAGGCATTCATAATTTCCGTAATACATTAATAAGTACATAAATTTATCCTTGTATGTAATCCAAGTTTATCACAACGTAGATAGATACCTATACAATATTGATGACAGACGTTTTTACGCATTGTATCCATGCAATATCTGCATGATACCCCTCAAATAATATTTTGACGTGCATATGAGGAAACTTTCCAAAATTCAAGGATGTTTAGAAATTCTACTCGAAGCTCTCCAGACGCTTCGAACGGGTCTTCTACCATGCAAAAAGCCGTTCAACACAACGTTTGAAGACACCCAGACGACCGCCGCACCATCCAAATGTCACTAGACGACAATGGAAAACCCCTGCGTTATGCCAGAGCCTCCCTGAAACCGCCGACGAGAGACGAGGAAAATATAAAAAATTTCATCCCACTTTTGAAATTTTCAAGAGGGTGAATCTACACCAAAAACCGTCTCCCGCAAGACCTCCGGGTCGGAATTAAATCTGTATGGTTTCAGATAACCAAGCAACCAGACTAGGCAAAAATGCAACAGTTGCTAGCCAAAATGAGATGTCGCTGAGTCAGACCTTCTAGCATCCGTTCTATCGTGATTCACCATGTCGGCGATTGAACGCGCACCCACGGCAGTTGCAGTCTATCAGCCAGGACACATTAGGGTGAGTCTAGCACTTGCCGTTCTGAAATAATTCGTATTCATAGCATTCTGTTGTATCAAGCATCATTTAAGTAAACGATATATATTTACCTTATCCTCGAGTTATTATTTGTCTTGAAAAAATACCCAAACCTCGAGCTCTAACGCCATCAGCTTCACGCTGAACCAAGCTTCCTAAAAGCTTCAGTACCGACACTCCAAGGAGTCCGTACACAGTGAAAAAATCATAGTGAAGCAAAGACAGTGATCTTCAGACACTAGGCCCTAGTAACCTTAGTGGCTAGGGTATCAGACCCGAACCAAGTGCATACAGGGTGACACAAAATCCTGAAACACGTTTCCAAGTATCCTAACCTGGAAACCAAGCTTACGTACTCCAACGACCGTTTAGGTCGCAACATATCCCAACAATTAGATTGTGGAATCTCCACCTGAGCTCCTAGAACTTAGAACGATGGCGGAGGATCGAAGATCTCACTTTCCCTCCATGATGGCCGCAGGGTCGTACATCAAGACGGAGAGGAACGAGAGTAGGTCTCAACGGCCGGAATCGAACCAAGACAACGCTCATCCGTGTCGTGGCGTCCAACGTGGGACTGTCACCGGAGACAGGCAACCAACTTATCACGTAGCCCAACCAGGCGAGGAAGAAATCGAGACCGATAGGAATCCGCGACTTGGCGCCCAACGTGAGGCTATATTGCCGAACGAAACTGAGACTAAAGAAAATCAGCGACAGAATCTTTTAAAATCAAATATAACTAATATTAATACTTATACATAATATCTAGATAAAATATATGACTTGCGCATTTTATTTGTCAGAAAATGTATTTTTCTTGCGCTTCTTCAGCTTTGTTAATCAAATATTAGGCTTTATTGTATTCAATATTATAAATAGAATTTTCTGATTTAAACTTTTACTTTAATGCAAGTTAGAATTTGTTCCGTCTACACCTTTGTACAGAATAACTCTTGCAAATCCATCAAAAATAAGAATAAAGATGCTTTCTAGCACCCACGCCATTATTCCATGGCTAGAAATTGGCCTCAATGATTTGGAATCGAGGGGGATTATCCCTCTTTATCCTGCCTCATCTCGTGTAGGCCTGGACAGCCTTCGTAGGTGGGCCCCATCCGTCGTCTACCCCGACCGCAAATGCGGCCGGTGTAGGCGCTTTGTGGGACCTCCTTTTGTCCTGGCTGGGCCCCGCCGGCTAGGGCCCTTTCTTCTGGCGCTCTTCTTGCTTCGCCGGCTCGTCTGTGTAAACCCCGGGGGTAGTGTCATGTTTATGTGTGGTATGGTTGGGTAGGGTAGTGCGGCTATGCAGCCTGGGATGCGCTTTGCTAAGGTGGCCCTTAGGCTAGCGCG